CTCGAGATTGCTCACATATCTTTCCCGGCATTTACACGAGTGCATCTACATTGGGGAGGAGCCTTCGCCTCGTGGAATGAGTTATCCATGGGCCCAGACCACTCCGGCGACTGAAAAGCCACCACTCTTGGTGGCGACGGCTTCCCCACCTTTGCATTGTCAAGGGATATTGATCCTACGTGCTTGCTGACAATTGAAAACCCGATTCGAGCAAAGTAGTGGAATCTTCGTGGATACATATATACATAAGTTGATATTTCTTCTTTTCCGTGGACTTTATACCACAGGATAAAATAAAGTGTGATCACCCCTCAATCGCTATTCAGTATCAAGCTCAACATGGATCTCATGATATGTTCGATGTGCGGTGCTCAACACGACACACGATCAGCCAAGTCGTGCAAGGTATGCGATGATCCGCGACAATATATCCCTCCAGAAGGGTAAGATTCATTCTTACAAGCATCGTTGAAACCTTTCACGGTATCTTCCTTCATGCGCCCTTCCCATACAGCTAGCTACACGCTATCCGGGAGATCACAAGAAAGAAAGCATCAACAACAATAAACAATCAAATCACATAACTGACACAATAGCTATTTCCTGGCCCTCCCTGGCTGTGAATGCAGGCAATCATGGACAACGCTCCGCGAGCTGCAACGGTCCCAAAAATACCACAACCAGTTCCGCATGAACAAAAATCACTCCGGCCTCATTAGCATCTACACCGTGCCGCAGGTAGCCATTGGCCAGCGTGCCATTCTCTGCTGCACATCCGCCGGCAACGTGCTCTGGGATTGCATCACTTACATCGACGATGAGACCGTCCGCCGCATCAACGAGCTTGGCGGCATCGAGGCAATCGTCATCTCGCATCCGCACTTCTACTCTACCTCCGTTCATTGGGCGGAGACATTTGGTTGTCCCGTCTACACATCCGCTGAGGACCAAGAGTGGCTGATGCGACGGGCTCCGGTAACGAAAACAATCTCTGCTGCACAAAGCAAAGACGGCCCGGAGAAGTTTACTGGAATCGGTTTGTGGGAAGGTAAAGAGCTGAATCTTCTAGGTGGACAGGTGATGGCTGTAAAAGTAGGCGGTCATTTCCCTGGAAGCTCTGTGCTGTTGTGGAAGGAGACGAAGAAGCTGCTTGTGGCGGATAGTGTCATGGTGGTACCCAGCGGAGTGTACCATGTTGACCGACTCCCGGGCACCACGTCTTTCACATTCATGTGGTCGTATCCGAATTTTGTGAGTTTTCTATTTCTATTTGTGCTTTGTTATTCCCTGAAAATTTCCCCTTACCGGCTATGGGAATGGAATCCTGCTTCATTTTATTCTCCCTCCCCTTCTCTATGATTGTATTGGCATTTCCTACTCATGATCATGGCATGCACAAACAATCTACAATCACGCTGTCAGCCGCCGATGATGGAACTGAGGACTTTTATTCTAATTCTTGTTCCTTTTTTCCCCCGCCTTGTGAACAGATCCCACTTCCCCCAGACGACGTATATGGGATCTGGAAAGCGATCGCAGACCTCTCCTTCGACGACACGCATGGAGCCTTTTGGGGACGCGATACGATCGGTCAGAGCAAAAAACGGCTTCTGGAAAGTGCCCAGATCTACGTAAAGTCCACGGGATACGCAGATCATGCGATTCATCAGGTGAAGATCGAGGGATAGCTGGGTGGTCTAACATGCTCTGGCTTGTTGATGTTGTCCTATGTGCTGTTCTTGTGCTGTAAATACATATATACTATGTCGATGTTGTTTGGGGTAGTAATGAGCACATAATATGAGGGTATTTTGAGTATATATATGGATGGTACAGACTGGTGGTTATCTGGTCAGATGAAATGGTAATTTCAAGAGTTATCGTATTTTCCTGCGACGCAAATAAAATGAATTCGCTAGGTATTCTATCGTGGAACGGTGAGATATAGAAAGTAGCAAGGGGGAAAAGGGGAAACAATAGAGAGATCAACCATGACGGACGATACGTATATATGGTACAGAATAACGAGAAAACATTCACAAGTGGTAGCCACCGGTTGTTTCCCCGACCGGGTGGGAACGAAGTTATGTTGCAATAGACACCACAGTTTAGATAGCTCCACCAGTAAGCTCCTCAGCGATCCTCTTCACTCTCTTCTCCCCAAGACTCCAAATGGTCGCGTCAGTCTTTCCAGCATGCACCAGGGACTCTACAGTTGATGGAATGCCCAAGTTCCAGATATTCTCTCCAACATCCTCATCGTTGGTCCATGCAGGATTCTCGCCATCGGGGAACACCCGCTCAATCTCCGCCTTCAATTGCTCCTCGTTGGTGATGAAAGTCCGGGCGTTCATGTACAGAGAGTGGAGATGGTCTGATCTCTGTTGTTTCTTACTCAGTTGCTTCGCAGCGTGTTTCTTGCGGGAGGTCTTGAGGCGTTGCCCCGCTGTGGGATCGGGGAGGATAGACATCTTGCTCGGTTTCATAACTTCAGGAGTCGATTGCTGCATCAGCCGATCATCTTCTCGTGGGCCCTGGACGAGGATCTGCTCCCGTTGCGCTATTTTCGCGCTGCTGCGTTTCGCTCTGAGCTCGTCACTTTTCTGCTTGCGTGCGTACAGCTCGGCTAGACCCTCACGCAAGTTTTTGCGGCGGATGGCAGCCATCCGCCTCTTCCATTCCACGTGGTCCAACTGAGGATCTCCAGGGTGGAGTTTTGGCTCTTTACTTAACGGCTCGGGAGTGGCAGCCTCAGCGTAGGATTGCGTCGGCTTGTCTGGTCGTCGGGCCGGGAATAGCTCACGGGGCACAGGGAGAATACCCTTTACCGGCTGCTTACGAGGATGGAAAGGCTGTATCGGATGAGGAATGTCGATGAAATTCGGCGACTCGGGCCTGACCAGTGGATATGGGGTTGAACTGAAGGCCCGGACCTGTACTTTGGCAGTTCTGCAAGCGCGGCAAAGAGACATTGCCGACTTCGAGGGGGTGGCCATGGATGGCAATTGGCAATCAAGGGAGTGGGAAATACCGTTTATCCCACCTTCCGTAGGACAATCATGCAAGAAGATGCGGATAGAGGCTTGCTTTGGGAGGTTCCAATGGTTTGTGGTATCTCTCGCGCAAATGACAAGATTTGATTCGGAAGTGATTTTTTGATGGTCTGTGCACGCCAGAAGTCTTGGCACACGCTCCAGCAACGAAAAAGAGAAAAATTCCTCGAGAATTAATTTCTGCCATTGACATTCTCACTGGCCCACAGATATTTACAGCCAACCACCCAGAAGGACCCAGATACCCTAGGCTGACGACTGGCAGTTAGCCTTTTTTTTTCATATCCTTCTTCACTATGGGTACAGCTAAGAAGGAAGCTGCTCGCAGAGAGCGGCAGGGTAAGACAGGAGATGGAATGGGCAATGTAAAGACCAAGGGTGAAAACTTCTACAGGTAAACAGCTACCCTCTTCTGCCTGTGGAATGTGATATGCATGTGCTAATGCCAATATAGAAGTGCTAAGAAGGTCAAGACCCTTAATATGTTCAAGGATGGCAAAGCGCAAAGAAATGCCCGCGGTGAAATCACAAAAGCTGCGTCCTATCAATCCCGCGAAATACCAAACGCTAGGATAGAACCCAACAGAAAATGGTTTGGAAATACGAGAGTTATCTCACAAGAGGCCCTGAGCTCATTTCGAGAAGCGGTCGCTGAACGTGCTTCTGATCCTTATCAAGTTCTGCTCAAAACAAATAAGCTGCCAATGAGTTTGATCCGCGATGGATCAAATACTAATGGACTTAAGGAGCACAAAGCTAAGATTGCTGTTGAGTCAGCACCATTCAGCGACACATTCGGACCCAGGTCGCAGCGAAAGCGAGTCAAACTCAGCGTCGGGACGCTCGAAGATCTCGCTGACGAGTCAGTCAGGATGCACAACACCTACTTGGAGCGGTTGGATCAGGCGAGATTATTGAGCGGTAAATCAGGTGAAACTGCTGAAAATGACAATATAGTTCATGATGGGCAACTCACGACTGCAAGAGAGCCTGTTTTCTCTAAAGGTCAGAGTAAGCGGATCTGGAACGAACTGTACAAGGTCATCGACTCGTCCGATGTTGTCATACACGTGCTTGATGCGCGAGATCCGGAGGGCACACGATGCAGGAGTATTGAAAAGTACATCCGTGAGGAAGCACCACACAAGCACCTGATTTTCGTTCTGAATAAGTGCGACTTGGTACCAACCGGCGTTGCTGTAAGTTATAAAATCACAGCACTTCTCCTTCATCTTTCATGATCGCGTAACATGCCATTGCTAAGTCAAGGCTTCTTCCCGTGCATGTTTTCTTGCCACCAATCTATGGAAGTAATTTGTCTGTTACAGCTTTGGTAGATGGACTCTTGCCCGCCGCCTTGGTTTCATTCTGAAATTAGGGCTGACAAGCGATCGTTTTGAGAGCTCTGTCGTATAGGGTTTGCTGTGTTTTGTTTGAGTTGAGTTCTGCTTCCACTTTATTTTGTGGCATAACAGCAGTACTCTTAGTAACATCTCACACATTCATTTTTACATAAATTGCTTCATTGTGATAAGTTTGTTCTTTTTTTTTTTTTTTTTTGAGGATCTATAGCTAATTAATGATTGCAGGCTGCTTGGGTCCGTGCATTATCAAAAGATCATCCCACTCTGGCCTTCCACGCTTCCATCAACAACTCATTCGGCAAAGGCTCCTTAATCCAGCTTCTACGCCAATTTTCATCTTTACATTCGGACCGTAAACAAATATCGGTAGGATTCATTGGATACCCTAACACCGGAAAATCATCCATCATCAATACCCTTCGAAAGAAGAAGGTCTGCACCGTTGCTCCCATTCCCGGAGAAACAAAAGTATGGCAGTACATCACATTGATGAAAAGAATCTATCTAATTGACTGCCCCGGTGTTGTTCCACCGAGCAACAACGATACCGAAGAAGACATCCTCCTACGAGGCGTGGTGCGCGTGGAGAATGTTGAAAATCCGGAACAATATATCCCTGGCGTTCTCAAACGTGTTCAACCACGCCATATCGAACGGACGTATGGGATTAAGATTTCTAATGATGCGATCGATTTCTTGAGTATCCTCGCTAGAAAGGGAGGCAGACTACTCAGAGGTGCCGAACCTGATCTCGATGGAGTAGCCAAGATGGTCATTAATGACTTCCTTCGTGGAAAAATCCCGTGGTATACGCCACCACCCCATTCGAACGATGCAAACGTGGACGAAAAGATTGAAGGGCGTGAGGGACGGCTTGGTGAGATGAGCCGCAAACGGAAGCGTGATGATTCCGAAGTTGCGCCTTCAACAGGCCCATCTGGTGATACGGTGTCGGAGTCGAGCGAATCTAACGTGGACAATGAAGAGTTCGAGGGATTTAGCGAAAGTGATGAGGATTCAGCTAGCGAAGGAGATAATACCACTGAAAGTAGTGCTGCCAAAATGACAGAGAGCGAGTAAGCGCACTAACTATATATCATTCTCCACGAGGTACGCTGCCAGAAGCGTCAGATACCTTTTAACAAGGCGCCTTGAATTTTGTGGCGTCAACCATCAGTCCGCAAAAGTCGCCTTGTGTCCCAAATCGAGTCCCACTATTCAATAACATGCACGGCGCCTCTCACCAGGCAAATGACATCTACCACAAATTCACGATTCGGGTGCTAGGATGTTGCTGTGCCGTCCACCAAACAACAAACCGCTTAAGGATATAGACCATTGGGCATAGAATCAAAGTTGATCCATAGGCTGATGGAGGAAAACCTATCTCTGTCAGATTACTTAATTGCCCCATGTATTCCCAGCTATTCTACGCAGGATTTGCCACAGACCACGTGGGTAATACGGCCTCGTTTTGTATGAGAATAGCGATTTAGAAGAATATCCATATATTGAAGTAACCTCCTGGTTAATTCAAATGGAAGGGTCTATTGCATTCTGATCAGTGATCAGACATGATTGATACATATTCCGAGCGAGATATTTGCCCTAATCCTGTGATCGACTCCAATTAGAGGCAAAAATCGTGCATCTTGTTGACTAAATCCGGCTGGGTGCTTCCCATAATAGAATTCTGCAGTGAACAAAACTTGTTGATGAGCCTATAATCTTATATGTGTAGCCAAGGTCACTGAATCTCCTTATTGAGAATACACAACATCATAGATATTGCTATCTAAGCCATGATAATTCATTACCTGCATATATACATCTGTACAAACATTGGAGCTCGTTGATTGGGTCACGTGAACGCGAAACTTCCAACCTTGGAACTGTTCCAAGGTTGAAGCTCTTCGTTGGAGCTGTAGGTATCAATAAACACTTCAGTGGATGGATGCAGAGAAGATGCAACCGAGGCCAAAATTGGCACTCTTTATATAAAAAAAAATGCAATTAACTTTTTCTTTTTGCTCTCGACAGTTTAAAGGTCGACAGCCTCCCTCATATAATGGCTGACGCTAACACACAACGGAACATGTCCATTGTCCCTTACGGGACAACTCGCGACGTTGTTTTGTAAGGAAGAGCTACATCTCTCATTAGAAGCTCTGAAGGACATCGTTCCCTAAGGAAGCACTTCTATAATACTGGCCGCTCTACTAACAGACATATCTTTCAGACGGCACGATGATTCGGTTGTGGTTTTCGATCATGCTTCACGGTCCCTCGTCCTCCGCCGCGCACCTCCCGACGCCGAAGTAGAGCTAGCCGACTGTCCTTATTGTCACCGCCCAATGCGGGATTCATCCCAGGAAGCTACTCGAGATTCCAAACTTGGAACAAATTCTGTAGCTCAGCCAGGATTCGTGAACCCCGACTACTTTCGCATGCTGAGTTCTAGCATGCACAGTCCCTCTGGCTCAACACGCCCGCCCTCTCCTCGACGACGATTAGTTCAGCCAGCACAGCCGGAGCCTTTGGCTTCTGAAGCTGAAAGTGGACCTGCGCCCCCATTTGCGAATAAAATATCATCCGCCGCCTTCAGTCCGAATTATTTTAAGCGATTTTTTGTTGAGGAGCGAGAACTTGGAAGAGGCGGGAAGGGGGTAGTTTTGCTGGTTAAGCATGTTCTGGATGGTGTTTCGTTGGGATACTATGCTTGTAAACGTGTCCCAGTTGGAGACGATCATGAGTGGCTGAAAAAGGTTTTGATTGAGGTACAATTACTTCAGCATCTTTCGCACCAGAATTTGGTCTCGTACCGACATGTATGGTTGGAGGACGCAAAGCTGAGCAATTTCGGGCCTAGCATTCCTTGTGCTTTTATACTTCAACAGTACTGCAATTCTGGAGATCTCCATGAGTACATATGCGGCCCGAGACAACCTACTGCCACAACCCAGCAATTAAAAGAGCGGATCCGTCGAAGATCAAAAGGCCAACCAGAGCCTCCTTCCAGCACAGGAGGGTTCCGAAAGCTCCAGTTTGATGAAATATATTCCCTTTTCAAAGACATAACTTCAGGGCTACTTTTCCTACATAATAATGGTTTTATCCACCGTGATCTCAAGCCTAGCAACTGCCTTCTCCATGACACAGGACAAGGGCTAAGAGCCCTTGTGAGCGACTTTGGCGAAGTACAGTATGAGCACGCTGTCAGGAATTCTACTGGAAATACAGGAACTATTTCATACTGTGCACCTGAGGTTCTACGCCGTCTGGACCCCGAAGGACCGTTTGGGAATTTTACATTCAAGTCTGACATATTTTCTCTTGGCATGATCCTCTATTTCCTCTGCTTTGCACAATTGCCATACCGTAACGCGGACATCATCGATGAAGATAAGGAAGACCTTGACATACTGCGTGCTGAGATAAGCCAATGGTCAGGCTTCGATGACGCCCGGCGGATGAGACAAGACTTGCCTGAGAAACTATATTCATTTCTAAAAAGGCTCCTATCCGTTGACCCGGATAAACGACCTACTGCAGAAGAAGTCCTTAAGGGAATCCAGGCTGGAGTTGCAGGTGCTAATACTGAAGGTCGTCGCTTCCACAGTCACAGAAACAATGGAACATCGACTGCTGACATTCGTTCAGGCCTCCGCGTTCTTCCTGTGGATACTCCTTCCAACCCATCCTCGACTCCTCGCAGCCCTAGGAGCCCCAATAGGAACGTGTCCACAAATGCAACAGGATTTCCAGGTGGTGTTCCTGTACGCCAACCGTCCTCCTTTCAGTCAGATGCTACAGAATCATCTGCTCATGAGACTGGCTTGCCAAGGGAACGGCACCGATCCCATAGCGTGGATCATGATCTAGTTCTTCGGGCGACAGCTTTATCTTCTACCCCCCGTGCCAGCCAGCCACAACAACGTCAACGCAATAACAACCGCAATAACAGCGATAATACAAGTCGCACGCGTGTCTCGGATCACCTCCTCCTTCCACCTCCCAGCCGACCAAACCGACCCTCAATTTTCACATCCGCCACTATCTATCGCTCAGTAGAAAAGATCATCAGCTTCTCCCTACTTATCGTTAAGGTCCTGTCCATCACACAACCATGCTCACCGCTGGCGGTTAACCCTTGGATCTTATACCCGCTTCTTTGCCTGGCTGCACTGGATTTCGCTGTCGGGCGCCCCTTGGTGCATGCTGCTGCGTTTGTTTTTCATGTTGTTATTGTGATTTGGGCTGTAAGGTCAGACGAGTTATGTATGTGGATGCCAGAGACATCTACTGTTCATGGGATATAATATATATCATTAAAATGAAGCAAGTGAACGTGGATTGTTTATCATGGGAGGAGAGGCGCAGTGATGATCATGTGGAATTGAATGTTTTGCATTTGACGACGGTGCTTAAGTAATGAATCTGTTTATTATTGAATCTATTGACGAGGACAGGGTGAAGATTAGGAATAGCCTTTGTACATACATATATACCCAAACCTTTCCGATTTTTAATCCAGTAGTGGAAATTACACAGTTTGAGGGCGCCAGATGATATTCCATTCTCTACGAGTACCCCGCCCCTGTCGGCGGGTATGAAAAGGTCCCCGTGAGGAGTATTTCAAAAAAAGGCATATCCTCCAGCCGATAAATCGCAGCACATCTACATAAATAATATAACGTAGAATCTACAAGTAAAAATGTAGTGGGTGAAACGAAACCGCCAGGTAGATCCCATAGAGCCCTCATCCGACCTATTTTCGTTTACCCTTCATCCCTTCCCTTCGCCATGGGGCAAGAAAGGGAGGGGAGGGGGGAATAAGCAAAAAATCTGGCAGATCTATAAAATAAGGGGGGACGCAGTCAGAGAGTCCACTTTTTTGTAATTCATTTGATCTTGGAAACATTAAACGTCTTTTATGTGGTCTGAATTGGTAGGGATGTTTGTATTCTTCGTCTTGAATACTGCAAATCAGATCAGGTTGGGAAAAAAGAGAGCGTCATTCGTGTTAGAAATGAGTCTTTCTTTCCCCCGACGTTTCCGTGTTGAGGAGGAGGGTCACGAGTTTTCTTTTTTTCTTTTTTTTTCTTTTTTTTTCTTTTTTTTTTTTTTTTTGGAGCTGTTGAGGAGGGTTAAAGCTTCACTGGCTCCAAAACTCTAGGAATATGGGCATGTAGGTTACTATAGACAAAAAAAAAAACAAACGGAGATGATAGGGTTAAACATGTTTATTTCATTTTACTTCATTTTGGTCGTCATACACGTGCATCAATCGTAAGGAAATTCATAACTACTTACTTCATCCGCGCCGCCAAAAACCGACTGAGTTTCTTGGCTGGCTGTCCATCCTCTTCTAGAGGAATAATCCCATTGGATTCCTCGTCCTCACGCAAGAACCCGCCTTCTTGATGAATCTTGCGGTTCCGAAATTTGTAAAATTCGGTTGCGATTTCTCGTTTATGCAGGCTTTCATCTAATTCATCTGGATCAGGTGGCGTTGCATTTTCGTAGGATACAGTACGTTCGACTAGTTCATCCGCCAATGTCTTGAGTGGTTGGTCTGGATTAGTAATTGGCTGAGAAAAGGGCTTGGGCTGTGAGGGCTTTGCGGGAAATAGTGGGAGTGGCGGGGTATCAATGGAGGGAGCTGACGAGCGAACTGCGGGTGCTGGCAATGTGGGTGTAGACATGAGATTAATTGGTTCGGAGGTTTGGCTTGCACTCTTGAACCGGGACATTTTCTTTGAGGTTGTAGTGTCATTGGTGTCGCATATTTTCTCTCCTTGCGCTCGTTCCACAATAGCGTCTTGAACAACAGGGACAGACGGTGGCTCTATACGGTGCTCCTTAGCTCGTGCTGGAGGTATAGGAGAATTTGGCTGTGGTGCAATGTCAAGCGCGTCCGCAAAGGCAACTTTTTTCTTCTGCTTTGGGGCTTCGCTGTCGGCGTCATTAGGAATGTTCTCCCGAGGAATAGGCGAATCAAGCTCCTTTCTGACATCCGGTGGAAGGACACTCGTATCAGGTCCAACATTTTCCAAACTCCGTGCGTTTAACTTTTTCTCTAATTCCATCATCTGGCGACGATAGTCATCATCGATCATCCTCCGCGTAGACCGACCATATTCATCTTCTTCCTCATCATCCTCATCACTAATCACGTAGTCTTCGTCTTCAATAGAGAATTCACTTCCTGATTCGTCTAGCTCCAGCTCGGCAACAACAGCACCAACCTCCTCAAGGCCATACTGTAACATTTCTCTTCTCAAGGCCGCATCTTCTGGGGATTCATCTATACAGATGTTGGTAGACTCATCGCCATCACCATAACTAATTTCGGGAGCTGAAGAGCGGTTATTATCCACGACCCCAACAGGGGGCGAATTGGTGCTCAAACGCGTAGCAGAATCTGTAGTAGCTCCAATTGAAGGAGCAGTCTTGGCAACTGTTGTTGTGGTATCTAATTTTGTGTTTGAAACAATTCCAGTAGATGGTATCTCGCCAATCCGTGGTGAAATATCAGGCGGGTTAGCGGAGTCTTTCTGACGTGAAAATTCATTTCTGCTCTCGTCGGCGAGCGGTGCTGTATCGTCAGATTTCTCCCTCGGAAGGTCCATGCCTGCTTTCTTTAAAGCTTCCAGGATTCCGGGTGCAGCCTGGTCAGGAGTAGTTGTAGAACTCGAAATGACGCGGTCATCTTCATCAAGTTCTTCAACAATATCGGTAATAGGTAGCCCGTCCTCGTCGACTGCGCCAGGGTGTTGAACTGTGAGGATGGCATCGAGTTTCCTTTCAGCAGCTGAGATGCGCTTCTCCAACACTCCAATATTTTGCTGAACATAGTCCATCCGTCTTGATATAGCATCCACCACCTGCTGCTTTGTTCTCGTCACCCTCTGTTTCACGCCTAGTAATACCTCAATCTCGTGTTCGTTGACTAGGGATCCGCCAAATTCTCGTCCAATCCTGAGGAAATCTTCATTTTTGCTGTTTTCTTCCAGTGCCGAGATATCATTCTTCAACTCATCGTACTCCGCATCCCACATTCGCCAATTGTATAGGGATTTTCTGAGCTCCAGGATGCTCTCCTCGAGTTGCAGCCGCTGGCGCTCAAGACCGGCGAGGTTATCTGTTGGTTGTGCCATTGTAAATAGAGGATTCAGCGCCTCTATCCAGCCAAAGGAGTAGTATAGTAGCGCTGAGATATCTGTCCATCGGTATTGTACAGATGTGTGATGTGTGATGTTGGAGTGGAAGAAAATCACGGCGGGAGCTGCCAGGCTAACTTAATTCCTATTGGTGGCGCGGGCTCTTAGCCTGACCTCATCATCAAAAATTATTAGTTAACAGGCAGGGACTCAAATCATAAACAACCCGACACAAAACACACCTGGTAGCTGGGATCCCTACCTGCAAACCCCCCAAAACACCTCAAAGTTGCCTCCTGGATCTCGTCATTCACCTGCAGTATGTCGTTCCAGTCCAATGGCACACGGAACCGCGGTGAAGAAGATGGTGAGCCCCTCCACCAGCACTTGCGCAGCCTCAACCTACAGGCACGTCCAGCCAGAGCTAACATGTCTGAGCATGCAACCGATCCAGAGGTCTGTCCTGTGTGCAAGTCATCACGGTACCTCAATCCAGATATGCGTTTCCTTATAAACCCGGAATGTTACCATAAAATGTGCGAGTCATGCGTGGATCGCATCTTCTCGTCAGGCCCAGCCCCATGCCCAGTTGCCGGATGCAATAAAACGCTTAGGAAGAACCGGTTTCGGAAACAAACCTTTGAGGATATTGGCGTAGAGAGGGAGGTTGATGTAAGGAAAAGGGTCATGCAGATGTATGTTAAGGTAGTCTAATTCTGGGGATTCCCCCGCTCGTCTATTTGCATTAGCTTACAGAAATTTCTGGCAGATTGAATCGCCGCGAGGATGAATTTGACAACAAGCTAGCCTACGACAACTTTCTTGAACAGCGCGAGGATATAATAACCAACCTGGTCTCCGGCATCGACGTCGCAAAAACGGAAGCCCAACTCTCCCAATACGCCGCAGCGAACTCAAAATCTATCCGCCGCAACCAAGCGCTCGAATCCCAAGAATCCGCCGCTTTCCTGCAACATCAGTCCCTCGAACAAGAGCAAATACGATTACGCCGTGAAGCAGCACGGCAGGACTACGATAACGAAAGACGTGCCATCCTCTCCGGACGAGAAGACGTCCTCAACCGCCTAGCAACAGGCACCGTAGAAGATGCAGAAGCCATCGCAAAAGAGGGCAGGCAGGGCATGCTCAAGAAATCCTCGGCCCGGCGCAGCGAAGAGGAGCGCCTCAAACGAAAACAAACAGCTCTCCTAGCCGAATCTAAACGTGCCCAGGCTCTAGCAGATGCAGCCGACAAGGGCATCGCACCGGCCTTTGATTCAGACCTCGTCAAAGGCCTGCGGAAGATCAAGACGCCAGAGCCGGAAAAGCCATACGACCCTTTTTGTGGGATCAGGCTCGACGGCCGCGATTATTATCAGCTTCAAGACAATTACCCGTCTACGTATCTTGATCCCATCAAGGATAATGCCCAGATGCTTGCAGGCGGGTATGACTTGAGGGAGTACTACGCGCGCACATTGCTGGAAGCATTTGCTGGGCTGGGATGTTTCATCGATGAAGAAATTGCCGCGAGAAACGCTTCGGCGAACCCGTCGCCGACGGGACTTGCGGCGTCAGCTGCGGCGAGTACGCCCATTCCAGTTGATGAGGAAATGTTATGACCACGTCCTTGTCCATTCGGGTTACTGTTTCCATTTCCTAGCCAGCTTTGTCATCCTTGTATATCGCCTACCGGACCTTGGCGCTCTCGTCTCTCGTTTTTTCTCTTTTTTCAACCGAGCATCATTATCATACCATAGCGACGGAGTTTATGGAAGTTCGTTTGGTTTGGGCTTTATGGAAAAAATCTTTTTACGCTCATGGAATAATCATGCACTGGATGCAAATCAGATACGATTAGTAGTAGTTGGGAAGGGAGTTCCTTTCCAGCGGTGGTGTCTATGCTTTGCGATAATTTAGTGTTGCCATAGTATTAAATCGCCTACGACGAAAATCTTCAGCACTAAAGCCTCAAGTATATGGAATAATCCAAAGGAATCATAAAGGAACATGGAGGCGTTGAAAAATGGCTGGAAAAATATCAACATTTTAAATCTAAAAGCAAGCAAGCAATGTCAAAAACTATATAATAAACTGGAATAGACAATACAATTCGCCCCTGAAATCCCACACAAGTCGCACCTGGATGCAATTAAATGAAAAAGGAGCACACTGTCAAAAAAGTGCGCAATAGGGAAGACAAAAATGGAGACTGACGGCAACGTATAGTAACCTCAAAAAGACGGAAGGGAATTGTCACTTCTTCCAACCCCAAACCAAGAGATTGTGCATATGCGACCAAGAAATAGAATGACGAACCATTCTCACCAGCTCTAGAAACCTTCACCATCGGCTAAATGGTGAGCAAAACCGCTAGGAACGACCAAACAGATAACGGAATTGTTGTTCAAACACGAGAACTCAAGCGGACATTCACTCAATCTAATAATCAAGTCAGTCAAAACGCGAGTTCAATCACGTAAGAAGCCCCTGAAATATAAAACACCCCAAAAAGACACCAATTCCTAGGCACGGGGACATCCACCAAGTTGGCTTTTAAAAACAAAAAGCAACAGGTCAGTCTGAAACCCAATGCCGGAAGAAAATATGCAAAAGGAGAAGATTATACAGTTGGGATCAGTTTGTAATGGCGGTGGCGGTGGTAGCGTTGGCGGATATAATTACTAATTGGCGCTTGTAACGGTCAAGAAATGAAAACACTGAAACAGACAACTCAAGAAGAAGTTAATGAAAAACTGGCCAGGTGTTGAAAAGCTCCTCAAAATGCAAAAGCAAGAAACGCACAGCACGCTCGGCGGGTATATATATGATCACGAGAGCTCTTTTCGGTAATGGATACGTTAGGAAGAAGACTTCCCGGCTTTTCTGGAGAAACTCCGTCCGGTCACATCACCAGTGCTCTCAAACCCTTCCCACGGAAGTTCGTCATAATCACTACCGCCTTCACTGTCATGAGCCCTGGTGGCGTCTTTATCCTTGGGATCGTTTCGCCCAAGACGGTCGGTATAATTACTAGCACCTTTTCCCGTGACCCGGCCAAGGCCAATAGACTGCAATGTAACATCCACCTCATCTTGCGTCATCTCATGGCTATTTTCCTTCTGGCCCTCTAGAACATCATAGAGAGCATAAACCTGATCAGACTTCATATCGATTTCCCTTAAAATAGCCTCGATTGTATGGAGTATAGACTTTCGTTGCTTCTTACCAAGCGACGCATCATGTTTGTTCAATGCTGTCTGTTGAAGAGCAAGTCGCATTTTCAGATGTGCCAGCTCGTCTTCTAACAATTTTAGAACGGCAGCAAGAGCCACAGCTGGTGGCTGTGACGGACGGAGGGTAGGCTCTTCATTATATGGCGATGGATCTGGCATGCGATCGGAGACAGGGGTGGGTTTAGAGACCTTAATGGAGTCATGTCCTTCTTCACCACTATGATCATGGGTGGAATTCTTGTTCATGACACTTTTGCAAACTGAGCAGTTCTTCCCATCATGCTGCGCGACATCATCCAAAACCCGCTGGGCAGCTTCTGACAACTTGAGTGGTTCTCCAGGTTTAGCGGTAACACCATGCATCGTAATATCAGGGAGAATGAACGCTGATGTCATCTCCTCTGTCCTTTTCTGTCGGCGTCTGGTGTCAATGCGCTGCGACAAATCTCTGGTGGTATTCGCAGCCGCCCCTTGCTCCGTGATGTCAACACCAGGCACTTCAACTGTCACCGTGCGCCCGTCTCTAGATACAGCATTCTTCAGTAATGACTTCAGTGGTGCGCTTTGCTTAAAGTTCCCAGACGTTCTGAGCGTGAGATTGTTAATTTTGCTTTGTTCAGTAAAGTCACGGTTGAGGCGGTTATTACGGGCAACCCTTTCTTCCTCCAGTGTTTTGCGAAGTTGGGCTATCTCATTGGTCTGTATTATTCATTATCGTTAGTGGGACTTCATTGAGATTTAGAACCGGGGAAGCCTACGTCAATGAAGCTAAGAAATGTTAAATCGTTGGCTGGTCCATTGCGGTAACGGAAATCTCTTGTTTCCGTCCCCATTTCTCCCTCCGACAGCTCGATATCTTCGGAATATTCAACAATAGGTTTCTTGGTACGCTGTTTGCTGGTGTTAGGAAGCTTCTTTTCGGTGGTATTTGCTCGTGTCTTCGTATGTCTAGTGGGCTGCTGCGCACTAAGATGGGACAGGTCGAGAGAGAATAGCTCGTCATATTCAGTCTGCTTCTGTTGCCGGGTAGAGGATTCCTTCGAACCATACAGCACATGAGATTGCACACGATTCCCGTGAATGTTATGTGAGTTTTGCCTTTGTGCATCAACAGCATTTTTGCGGACTGAAGCATCAGCGTCCAGACTTTCAACACCTCGCGCTGGCCGTGTTCGATTAGTTTCCGTTGTTTCGATTTGGTCTCTGGTGGCGATGCCTCGACCAATTGTCTTGGAATCGTGAGTCTGCTTATGTCGTTTGCCATACGTTGCTTCGGGGTACTCAGTCAGCGATTCAAGTTGAATCTTCAGTTCATCGTTCTCCTGTCCCAACACGTCGTTTTCCATCTTCAGTTCCTGCAAATTGAGATAAGCCACGCCTAACTGGGTCCGGGCTGAGTCGCGTTCTTGTATCAAGTGCTGAATTCTAGTCTCATGGCTGGAAATTTTGCGGGTAAAGATATCTAACCGATTCTGAAGTGCCGAATTGGCTGCTTCCAATCCTAGATAGACCGAGTTATAAGCCAGGTTGTTACGCTTGCGCGCAGATCAATATATATATGTACTCACTACTCCTTTGAATAGAATGGTTGCCATTTCTTCTTCCATCATTAATATCTTCATCACCGCCATACATTCTCAAGGTTTTATCTTGCTTCTGCCAGCGAGTGTTTTCACTCTTCAATATCATATTCTCTTCTTCAATTTCTTCAAGTCTACGTTCCATATCGGATTTGTCCATCTGCAGGGCTTCAAGTTTCTCTTGAAGCAATTTCAAGGAAATAAAAATGGCCTTTTCGTCATCCGGAACGGGGATAGAGTCAAGAGGGAAATGTTCATGGCGCTGGCGATGAGCTGTTCCTACAGCGGGAGGTGAAGTGAAGCGTGTCGTTCGCGATCGTCCCTTCGGCGTTCCATCTTCATAAATCCCGGATACGAGATCAGAGAGATTCGGTATATCAGGAAGAGCAAATGACTGGTGAGTAAGATTGTCCGCAGTGGCACTATTGTCGGCGGTCTTCGCAGCCGGTTGTCTTCTAAGCTCTCCACGATCTACGTCTGCATCATGATGCTTGAGGTAAGGTTTGCCAGCTGCTTTGTTGACGGCATCCACGACTTTAGCACCCTGTCGAGTGTTGCCGAAACGAGTATTTCTCGTAGTAGATGTGATATTTGCCGGTCGTTCATCGCTAACGTATGACCCATCGTACGCTTCACTGGCTTTCGCGTGCATGTCGGACAGAGTACGCCGCTGGCTCCCGCCCTTATTCCTTGCGTCTTGAGGGAGGTTATTATTTTTCAAAGCGAGACTGGCGCGTCGTATCTGGGCATCTTTGCGAAGGCTATCGCTCGCTGACAATCCCCTATTTGGGATTGGGCGCAGAGCAGCTCTGTGGGGAGAATTGCTAAAACGATCTCCCCTAACCAGTGGTGATGCAGAGTATCGACTGTCGTCAACGCTCATGATCGAATCCCTCGAGTCATCTAACCGTTGCAAGGGTTTCTTGCCTCCCCGTCCCATTTCTATAGAGATATCATCTTCCTCCTCTGAGCTGGATGCGTCGGAGAAGTCTGGAAAAGCCCGGTGAAGAGCTGACGTGTCGATGGCGAAGTCTGGTTCTGCTTCCGGATATGCCTGCACGTCGCGTGGCTTTGCACGATTTGGTAGGCGCTGGCGGTGGCTATTGTCTAGCTGTCTCGTTGATACGAGAGCTTCATGATCTGGATCAAAATCAGACGTCGTCAGGTCTCGCGATGCGTGGCTGTCCGCCATAACATCAGAGGTATTTGTGTGGTCGGCTGGCGACATGAAGCCGATATTCTGAATTATACGCGAGAAGTTCTGAATAGTGACAATCGTCAATCATCGTATTCAGAATAATGTCATTCAGAAAAGGGGGCAAAAAACAAAAAGAGCATATTCCACATCGTTGGTGGAGGGGTTTGTCAAAGTACCTTTTTGTACAAGAGATTATTGTCGCCGTCGGGGGGGGCTTGTTATCGCGACAGCAAACAGGTCAACTCGAAGTGAATGCGGACATGAAACTGATAAAAGAAAACAAAACAATAACTCCGTTAAAAAGTAAGCTCCTGCAAGGTCAGTAACGGCCCAATGGTGCGGACGGGTCTGGGTATCGCGGGCGTTGAGAGTCGATATTGCTTCATGCCGTTTTGGGTGGTTTGTTTACATTCTTATTCGGGACTAGCGCCCACCGTCACCGCAACTTACCTGGTTTTCATCCATCTACAGCGTATGCTGCCCTCTCATGGGTTTAACAACCTCAATGGACACCCTGAAGAAGCCGGGAGGGACAATAGCAGAGATTCCCAGGCAAGCTGGTAGTTTACGTTCAATACCAATTTCGTGCGGGGAGAACTGCTCAGTGGCCGTACATCGTTCGAAACGTTGGATGCGCCGAAACAGAATATGGATTGGCAAGGAAGTTTGGCTCGATTCTCATGATAATGGAACAAAAACCGCCATATCAAAACACCAAGAGGACCATCCTTATTACAAGTCAGAACCGGCCTTCCCTCTGAGCTCGGAACGAACAAACGTGGACTTTCGCCAGCGGTAAGAATCAGATGAGATGTGGCCAGTGCAATGCGATAAGAGCTGGTGGAAGGAGGTGGGAAGGACTGTCTATGACACGGCGACAGTCAACTCCCAGAAGTCTGGTCTCTTAGGCGTCAACGAAGTTACATGCCCCCTTCATGGGAGATACTGGGAATAGAAAATATCTTAACTACAATTTAGCACCTTTGTGTGAAAGAATCACGGTTATTATGTGTGGAATATATAGCATTACTCCAGCCAATATTGGGGTCGCTAAATAGCTGATTCCTGTAACGGAATCCACCAAAAATTTTCTACAAATCTTGGAAGACATCTTGATCCGATATTTTTCCCTTCGACAATAAATCAATTCCATTTCTACCCCCTGGAAATTATGCCCATTATGTTGAATTGCTGTGTGATCGGCCTCAAGATTAGAGTTGCCAAAAACCTCCCGGTTGCGAAGCCGTATACAGCCGATCCTCCTCCATTCGTGAAGTCCGAGGCTCAAACTCCAACTCGCTTTTTATTTTTGCATCTTTAAACTCAAACGCCTAGTTCTCTTATGTATGTCAATCCGCTCGCCATCTAGATTCTACAAAAACAGACTCCTGGCCTGCTATGCAAAACCACTCCAGGCCTCTAATAACGTTCCCCAGAA